CAATTATTGATTTCCTGAAATATAAGTAATTTTAGAACACTAAGACAAGGTGGTGGGGAGGGGCTTTCAGACTTTACATGTAAAAGTGGGTTATACCAGTGACAAAAACACTGCAACACCATAACGTGTCAAAAACAATGCAACACCCTAACGTGTCAAAAACACTGCAACACCATAACATGTCAAAAACACTGCAACACCATAACGTGTCAAAAACAATGCAACACCATAACGTGTCAAAAACACTGCAACACCATAACATGTCAAAAACACTGCAACACCATAACGTGTCAAAAACACTGCAACACCATAACGTGTCAATAACAATGCAACACCATAACGTGTCAAAAAACAGCGCCATTCCAGCCCTCGGTCATTCCAACAAATATTTGCAGATTTCATTCAGTTAATAGTATTTAGAAATAGAGGTTAACTTACCAATAATGTTGATGACATGAACATATCACTAATACTATAACTGTTTTTAACTTTATCATATCTTACAACTATAACAGTAGGCTGACAGCTTGATTCAGAAATCTTTTCTTGAAGCTGAAAGAAGTGTAAATCATCATTCATTTAGAATTTTTAACTTATCCTGATGGAGGACAGCTCATATTATTCTGTCAATATATAATGAGACGCACACAAACTGAAAGTAGACCTTTATTTGTAAACAAACCTGGATGACTTATATTTTTCTTTTCTTAATCTCATTGAATTTGTAAATGCAGACTACAGATAAGACAAGTAGAAAACGTCGTTTCCTAAAAATTCTGCCGTAAACTATGAGTGACAACACATGAAATTAATAAAACAAGTTACCTGCTTCGTTCCTACAGAAAGATTTTCATCAAAATATCTTTATAAACTAAAGTTTTCTTTCATTTTTCTTCTGGTCACATTTTTTCATGGGGGCCGCCATGTTGTTTTCTTATCGTCTGCAGCTTCTGTGTTATGATTGGCTAAGAATACGGGTTTCTCTAAACACCAAAATATAGCCGAATGTGTAAAAAACAAACCATAATAAGCTTCAGACTACAATTAAATGTTGATTAAAAACAGTTGTTCTGTCCCTTTTCAAATTGAAAGGGTGTTAAAAATTGGTATCGGCTACTTTGCTGACCCTTGAACACTGAACAATAAAGCAATCTTGTCGAAAAAAAGCAGTTAGGGGAGGAGGGTCTAGGTGGTTTATTGACATTGGGACCTGGTGGTTTATTGACATTGGGGCCTAGTGGGTTATTGACATTGGGACCTGGTGGGTTATTGACATTGGGACCTGGTGGGTTATTGACATTGGGGCCTAGTGGGTTATTGACATTGGGACCTGGTGGTTTATTGACATTGGGGCCTGGTGGGTTATTGACATTGGGGCCTGGTGGTTTGTTGACATTGGCGTCTGTAGGATTATTGACATTGGAGTCTGGTGGTTTATTGACATTGGGGCCTGGTTGTTTATTGACATTGGGGCCTGGTGGTTTATTGACATTGGGGCCTTGTAGTTTATTGACATTGGGGCCTGGTGGTTTATTGACATTGGAGTCTGGTGGTTTATTGACATTGGAGTCTGGTGGTTTATTGACATTGGGGCCTGGTAGTTTATTGCCATTGGGGTCTGGTGGTTTATTGACATTGGGGCCTTGTAGTTTATTGACATTGGAGCCTGGTGGTTTATTGACATTGAGGACTGGTGGTTTATTGCCATTGGGGCGGTAGTTTATTGACATTGGGGCCTGGTAGTTTATTGAAATAGGTGCTTTGCCTTTGTCCTAAGGTATACGGTTGAATACTGCTCAAGTCTGCCTTTAAGAAAAGTAGGATGTAAAACTCCAATCATTTCAATTTTTGTCAGTCTGCTTTTATGAGACGAGAAACAATAAATTGAGAATGTAGATGACCGTTAACATGGTGTCGTCGTTGATATACTGAAATATTCACAGATTAGAGAATTAAGATCTAAGCAACTAATTACAGAATGACTACGTGACATCTTGCACCCCATTGGTCTATAGACATGTAATATCACAACTCAAACATCATTACATCTATTCTGTAGGACATCACCCTTACTTTTATATTGTTTGTATCAAGAGTGACTCTGTGAATCTTGAAATTGAAGTTAAAAATAAGATTATTCATCCATTTCTCTCCTTCCTTCTGTCTATCTATCCATGAATGAATGAAGTAAGAAGTTAAAAATAAGAAAGGAAGGGAGAACCTTTACACCAGAAGAAATTGTGACAGACCAGGATCAGTCCTTAGATGTTCCTTCATACAACAATGATAAAGATAAATCCTTGATACCAATATATTTACTTTGTCTTGTAGAAACGAGTTAATTTGGATTCTAAAATGAGAGTTTCTGTAACTGAGACAGGATTTCTTTCAGAAACAAACATGTAAACACCAGTTGATCAAGTGTACTGATTTATCTAAAATTTCAGAAAGCAAAAAGACATTGTACTATCTTTTGTTTAGTGTATCAAACAGCTGTTCAGGTTGACAAAACAAACCAGAAATTACCCAAAGATTGATTTTTTTAAAGTGTAACCAATTCTTTGAGAAGGGAAGATATTCAAGATATAATCCATGTTGTATATTCAAGTCTATTCAAGACGAGATCTTCCTAAAAACAACATGGTGAGTATAATTTTGATTTTCAGACACGTCTAAAGAGGGATATTCAATGCGGTCAACTGGGATTTGAAGCAGCTCAACTTTCAGGACTGTGTCCAAGGTAGGAGAACCTGGAGGGAGGTGTACAGCTTCAGGACTACGTCCTAGGTAGTGGAACCAATTGCTAACCAGTAATAGATGATGTTGCTGACTTCAAAGATCAAGGCCAGGAGGTCATATTGACCATCTCTAGTTACCAAGACCCGGAGCTTGTTGACTTAGCTCCTATACCTCTTTGGGCTGTATAATTTATTATCATATGATCCTTAAAGACTGTCCTAGATATCGTAGACTAAGACCTAGTCGACACACCTGCCTGGTTTAATCTCAACCATAATTCTAATTTCTTCCCTTCACTGATCAATGATCAAACATAAAGATTTGGTTACACTTTTGTTGGATGTTAATATCAAGAACAAAATTCCATCAGCCAATATCAAATTCTAATTTTTAGCTATTGATAATCTAAATAAAAGAACAACACAATGAACAGTGCTTTCTGTAAGGAGTCAAACATCAACTACATCTAAAACAACCCAGTTCTAAATGTGAGAATCTAAGAAAAATTCAGTTCAATTCCTAGAAACTCCATTTTGTTTTGATTGGCTAAGAATACAGGTTTCTCTAAACAACAAATTACAGCCGAATGTGTAAAAAACAAACCATAAGAAGCCTCAGACCACAATTAAATGTTTATCTAAACATTAAAACAAATAAAATACAAAAGAGTATAAATCTCGGTGAGTAATTGGTGAGTAATCACATTGCAGTCGGTGATTAATCACTTTGTAATCGTTGAGTAAATACTTTGTAATCGGTGAGTGATCTCTTTGTAACCGGTAAGTAATCCCTTTGTAATCGATGAGTAATCACTTTGTAACCGATAAGTAATTACTTTGTAGCCGGTGAATAATAGGTGACTAATCACTTGGTAATTGGTGAGTAATCATTTTGTAATAGGTGAGTAATAGGTGAGTAATCACTTTGTAACCGAGAAGTAATCACTTTGTGGTCGACTAGTAATCACTTG